TGGTTTAATAAAGCTAAAAAATAGTCTAATAAAGTTTTTAAATTAAACTATTTTGTGTAAACCGATAAAACAGTTACGAGGTCACGTAGTGCCGAGTAACTATTACTTATTGCTAGAATTCATAATGATATTAATGAAAACTTATTAATATATTTATTCTAGGGATGTTTAGCGGTCCTAAGAGTCCCAAGTAAATTACAAAGAATTATTATTTTTGCAAATTTATTATTAAACTTGTCTATTATAATGTTTTAATGAGTTACTTAATGTAAATAAATAATAAACCCCTCTTGGTATCTCAGAATTTCTTAAAATTTAAAATTTTAGGATTTAGGACCGTGTCCTCACGATTTAAGAGATTACTATCTCTAAGAGAAGTCTAATCACTTGTCTATAATTAGTAACCCCCATCAAAATGTCATAAATATATTATAATTAATTGGTAAAAAGCGAAAATGGATATTCAAAATTGGCAATTTAAGTATAAGACCGGTCCTTAGGGACCCGGTTAAGGACCGCCTAACATCCTAATTTATTCAATAATATTCAAACAAATAAGTTAAATATATTATTTACATAAACGTTATTTGTTCACTTACCCTTTTTAAATCATCATATAATTTTATCCAACGTAATGTCTCGTCACTGAAATATTAAGCTGGTATCCCATATGTAATCGGAGCAATTGATGGATCCATTAAAGCACGAACAGATTTTTTATAAATTATTATAATAGAAAAGGATTTATTCAATTGTATTGTAAACAGTTATAGATTCATATAGAAAATTTATTGATATTTTTGTTGGATATCCTATGATAGCAGAATATTTCATAATTCTTCTTTATATTACGTTTTGAAAGGTTTTCGAAAACGTAAGCCAATTGTCACTTGTTAAAATGAAATTAGTTGTTGTGCCATTAAAATTGAATTACAAGATATAGTATGATTTTAATAGCAAACCGCACCCAAATGATTTATTATCTATTGCAAATTTTGTTTGTCTAATAAAATGTTTAATGAATAAAATTCGTGATTCCATGAACAATAAATATATAAATAATAATAAATAATAAATTAAATTATTAAAGTAAATTAAATAATTTAAAATTAAAACGCGTAAAAAAAAAAAAAAAAAAAAAAGGGAAAAAAATTCTGATGCAAAAATTATTTGCTAGTAAGAAAAATTAATTTAATTAATTAAAAAAGTAAAATTTTAAAAAAATTATATTGCTTTATAACTTAAGTATACAGATATAGAACCAAAAGGCTTGTCCGGTGCTACATCTTTTAATTGATAGATAAGTTTGTCAGTTTCGTTATCTCCATAATGCTCAAGAAAACTCAATTTTATTTCAGCTTTTCCCAAATATTCTATATTAAACGAGCAAATAAAAAATACAGTTAACAAAAATTTAAAAGTGATAAGAACAAATTACTCGATACTTACCATCCTGTGTATATTTATCATACTGAAATACTGATAATTTTAATGTATCTTCCAAAGTTGTAACCGAAAACATTAAATGCTAGAATTATAAAATTTATCCTTTAAAATAAATTATCATAAACATAAAATATGATTATACATTATAACCTTTAATTACCTGATTCCAACGAGGAAATATATCATCTTTTACGA